GTGATCAATCATGATGAAAAGTTGATTCGGATACACTTTCAGAGAACCCCTCGACTAGATTTAATACTAGTTACCCACAATCTGTGAATGGACACAATCGTTGACAACATGTCACAGTTGTTGCTACCGTGCATCTCTCGAGGGCGAATTTTGCATTGTGGTGATTTGAAGGTTGAAAAAAATCCCCCATCATTTCACAAGTTGTCATATTTTCATTTGCATGTTGTCACTTTGACCTGTATACACGCAACTCAAATATATTTTGAATGATAACATTTTAGATGACTTCCATGTTGGTCTTTAACGCTATTAGAGTACATTTCAATGAAAACGAGTTCGAAGAACTTGTTTTGCTTGTTTGCAAATCTACTTAACACAAGAGTCACAATTGTTTCGATTTTATTTAATTTCCGAGAAACAGAAACTTTATTGACTAAAGTATCGTGTCAAGTTTCCACACCTCAACCTTAATCTCAAATTCCAATAACCTTATCAACGCCGACCATGTGATCGCATAGCTTTGTTGAAATCGGGTGACGAGTGACATCGCGACGAGTGATTATGAACATAGTCCAGGATTCGGAGGCTCACACTGCCGCTTCCTCAATTTTGACTTTGTCATTTATTTAACCTGAAACGCCTTTTCTAAAAACACTTCCGTGTCAATGACTTGGATTCATAATCATTGCTTCTGTATGCACGTGGCCCAGTGACCCACCCAGTGGCTTATACTAATTTACATAATTAATCAGATGATTGTATTTGCATATTTACGTTTCCAACTCAATGGCTTTAATTTTTTTTATTTCACCGCCTTTGCAGTTGTTTAGTTCGACTGGTCACACAGGACTACATCCGATGAAATGGATATAATCTAATTAGTTGTTAACTATGATATCCTATATTATACGAATATTTTATTAGCAGTAAGCTATACTATCCGATAGAATGAAAACTAATCTATTAGCAGTAAGCTATACTATCTAATAGAATGGAATTAATCTATTAGCAGTAAGCTATACTATCCGATGGAATGGAATTAATCTATTAGCAGTAAGCTACTAGTATACTATCCAATAGAATGAAGTCTATTAGCAGTAAGCTATACTATCCGATAGAATGGAAACTAATCTATTAGCAGTAAGCTATACCATCCGATAGAATGGAATTAATCTATTAGCAGTAAGCTATACTATCCAATAGAATGAAGTCTATTAGCAGTAAGCTATACTATCCGATAGAATGGAAACTAATCTATTAGCAGTAAGCTATACTGTCCGATAGAATGGAATTAATCTATTAGCAGTAAGCTATACTATCCAATAGAATGAAATCTATTATCAGTAAGCTATACTATCCGATAGAATGGAAACTAATCTATTAGCAGTAAGCTATACTATCTGATAGAATGGAATTAATCCATTAACAGTAAGCTATACTATCTGATAGAATGGAAGTAATCTATTAGAAGTAAGCTATACTATCCGATGGAATGGAATTAATCTATTAGCAGTAAGCTACTAGTATACTATCCAATAGAATGAAGTCTATTAGCAGTAAGCTATACCATCCGATAGAATGGAATTAATCTATTAGCAGTA